CAAGCTTGGGATCCTCGAACCTTTGCTAAAAAGGCAGCCAAAACTTTGATAGAGTCTTTGGCTTTTAGCTACATTTGTCTAAACAAGGATATTATAAAAACAGAAGTATTTGTGGCCTGGAGTATATTAGTTTATAGTCACACTAGCACTACTAGCAGTATTTCATGACACTCCAACAACAAAAAAACCCACTACTCAAAGTGAAGATCTCGTTTTCATGCTTTCGCCCTAACTAACTTCCTTTATTTAAACGCTAAAGCAATGCTTTAGTTACATATTCTCTTTTAAAAAAATCTAGCAGTTAAAACTTCAGTCTGACAAAACTCCCGTATTTAACACACTTTCTTGTTAAGGAATAGTTATGTGATTGCCTATGAGTTCTATATAGAAGGGAAAAAAAAACATTTAACTTTTTCAAAATGTGAATTTGGGGAGTCGTTATCTGATTTCAGTTTAAAAAAAAAGAATCAAGGATAACTACAATCTCCTTTGCACTCTTTAGTTAGGTCACTTAAGAGAAAAAAAAATTATTTACTCCATCCAATGTTGTATGAATATACACTATTCCAGTTTGCTGCACCGCACTTAGGTCATGCTTGATGAAGTACAGTCCATAAGTATACCTTTCATGGAAAGGGAAAAGAACAAAAATGGAAAACGTGAAAAATAGCCTATTTGTGAGGACAAGAGAACTGTAAGTGATCCTAGTGATACTTGCTGTCAAAGTAACAGATCCCTGCATTCAATTTCCCAAAGCCTAAGACAACATACACCTTACATGGAAACCTGAAACTCAAATCTATGTTTTAGATCGCTGTCATAATAGCGATAGCAGAATCCTACAAATCCTCAGCCAGCTACCAGAGGAACAGGCATTTTTCAGAGCCGAACGTACCCATGTCAAGTCTGGTCAGGCTGCTGCTGTGTCAGGCAACGCGCCGGACGATGCCGTTCTGCTACGCAACAGAAGCGGAGAGAAGCTCTTATAACTGAAACCATTGCAAAGATGATTTGATAATTGACAAAAGGAAAAAGCTCAAAAAAACCCCTAAAAAACTCAGAAGCTACAAATAATAAAGCAGCATAAATATTTTGCCAGAGACAAGGCAGCAGGAAATAAAGACGTAACTCTGGGTCCTTAACTATCAAAGGCAAACCATGTCCCTTTAGACTGTGAACAACGATTTACAACCAGATGACCTTGGAGCACTCAAAATTGTTGCACTTCTCCCAGGATACAAAAACTGTGCAAATAAACGGTGAATCCCAGTGCATTTGCAAAAAACCCAAAACAAACCAAACAAAAAACCCCAACTGTGTCAAACATCCTACACGTCATTGGCCTGCACTTATTTTTTTGAGCCATGCACAAATATTAGGCTGCTATCTGTGCCCTGGCCGGAGGGTCAGCTACCTGAACAGGACATGGAAAACCACCGGACATGACAAAAGAAATGGCTGAACTTGACAGGTAACAGGATGAGAAGCTGACAAAAGGGACAGTTGTGAGGAACAGCTGGATCTCACAGGTGGTTATGGGGGAGTCGAGAGAAAAGGCTGAACTTCATAGATAATTAGAGGCAAATACTGGGGAATGCAGTCTTGAAATGCCAACAACGCCGAGATAATCGCAACTCTAATACCGCATGAAGCTGAGATTAGCTAGGTAACAGGATGAGAAATACAAAATTTGGGTACACAGAAATAAAAAATTTGGGGTAGTGCCCTTGGGTACAACAGTTGGCATAGGCCAACAAATCCAATCTGTCAGTTTGGACCACACCACACTAGCCAAACCTGTTTCTGGGGTCAGGAGGACCCGCTGTTTTCCTTGGCTAACAGGACAGCATGCAGAGGAACAGACCGAGCATCCCCGTAGCAGGATGCATGTTCCAGGCCTGACAGCATCAGCACCTAACCACCGCTTCCTAACAGCATTCAGAAGCATCCTTCAGGCAAGCAGTATATTTAGAAGCTCTTCTCTGAACAGAAGCAGGCTTCTTTAAAGGACTGCTGCTCCTAGAAACAGGTGATAAACATTATATTCATGGAGGACTGATCACCTTGAACCATCCTGGCAAACCAGCATACACAGTAGAGAAGACAGTTATTGACATGATAAGTATCAAAGGAGCTGGAGAACAAGTTAAATTTATCCTAACTTGCATATCACTTCCAGGATCACAACTACACATGCCAAAATGACCAGACAGGCATTATTTAAAAGAACAAAAGTACATAATTTAAAACTTTTACAAAACAAACTTCCCTACTTGCTATATTCTCACGCCAGCTTTTCAGCTCACCATGTGTCTGTTTCACCAATTGTGACCCCTTGAAAATCTGAAGGTCTCCACTGACTTCTTAAGAAGAACTATTCAATTACATTGACCTCTTACGAGAGGGATTTCAGCCTGGAAATGTCTCAGCTAAGGACGTCTCAAACAGGAATAAAAACAAAACTGGTGGATCCTTTCAAAAGAAAAAAAATCATACCGAAGAAGTTCCAAAACTATACAGTAAATAAACTTTATTTCATCTCAGCTCTTGTCAGATTAGTGCTGTCAACAGTCACAGAGCAGCATATGATACAGTTACGTATTAACTATTTACAATTTACAGTAAAGTACTTTTTCTCCAGAAAATATAAGTACCAAAGCTAGGAGTAAACAAATGAGGTACTGCAATTTGGATTTATTGTAGGCAAAAGCATATAGAAGTGACCTTTAGCTAACAATCTTAAGATCAAATCGGGAGAGAGTAGTCATCAAGAGTGCCTAGTTCATCAGGAAAATCACCTTAACCGCTACCCATCCAAAAAAGTATTGCACAATTAATTCACAAATAAAAAAATAAATAGAAGAAACAAACCATTTATTTCAACTCTTAAAAAACATCCAGTAAAGTCTGTGTAGAGATACAGTAGTGGGCAATTCCCTCCTAGGATAAAGTCTTTTCTTTCCTTTAAAAAAAATAACCTTTAACCCAAAATAGAAAACAGTGTTCAATAGAAGAGAAAAAAGAATCATCGCCATATAACCTGTGATCTTGACAAGGCAAGTTTTAACTATATTCATGGTCCAAAGGTGGTGCTGAGTTTTGGTTCTTGCTGTTCCGTTTGTGACCTTAAATAGATGCTGTCATCACAATTTCTTCAAGACAGTTGTAGCCATGACTAGAAGAATGAAAAGTTAGAACAAATTCTCTCAGTAATGTAACAACTTAGAAGCACTTAATATTAAAATAATGACATTGTTTATTCAAAGGAATAGGAGATGCAAGAATTTCAGATAAGTCAAATCATTGAATTATTAACTGATTTCAAGCAAGTCATTCCATTCCAGTATCTGCAAAACAGTTAAGAAACGGTGATGAAATTGAAATAACCTGTAGCAAAACAGTCAGGAGTCTCACTGGAAATAGAAAGTCTACTACATTGCTGCATCTTAACCCAACAAAAAACTAAGTTGTCCTCTCTGCATAAGGCCTATCATCAAAATTGAAATGATGAAGTAAAATTTTGGGGCTAGCAAAAAGCCTCCTCTACCAGGAAAATATTTATTGCTTTCACGATGAAGTCAGCATCATCTTAATTTCTAAGTTTTATACAGGCAAGAATCTTACCCCGTTTGCTGGCTATCTACTGGCATAAGTCACAAAAATACTTGAGATAAAGTAGAAAACTCCAGCCCAAGAATGAGGTCTCAACAGTTTCCATACATATTAGCTTAAGTTATGAAAGTATAACAGGTAATTGCTGACATTAAGGGCAAAAATCAAGCCCTTCTGTGGTATGCTTCCAACGCGGCTGAGAACGCCTGAACTTTTTACACAAGCATGACGAGAATTTAAGTTTCAGACATGCTTTCTGCAATAGCGTTGTAGATAGCTTTGTCCTATCACTACCAACAACTCAATTATTTTCAACAGAGGGCTAGGAAAAAAAAAAAAAAAAAAGAGTTGCTGATTTTGTCAAGAGGTGATCAAGGCCAGGAGGCAAAGAGTCCAAACTCTATTGTGTCTTAAGTGCAATAAAGTGCATCTGCTATTGTATTCAAAGGTTTAAAAGAACACAAAGATGAATAGATTTTTTTTTCCCCTTTGAAACAGATATTATTTTGTATTGAAGGCTATATTTGCATGACTTCAAGAGAGGAATTCTGATAGCCCATCAACTGCAGCGTGATAACTGGCAATGGAAACTGCCAAAGTTAATCCCTTCTGCTGGGGCGGGGGTGCAGGCCAACCACTGCCTTTCAGCTGACGGTGAGCGATTGCTTCACGCGCGCTGAATCAATTCCTGGCAACCGTGCTAAAGCTTTTCAGTTGCAAAGGAGCAAAAGGAAAGTTGGGCTGACCGTATCCTATAGAATTCATCTGAAGAGTTTATTCTCTGCTCTAGCTTCTCTTGATACCAAGCTAAAGCTCTGATTCACAAAGGTACTGATGTTTAAATTCAATCATATCCTATTTCCCCCACAGAGCGTATTTCACCAATTATTTTTTTTTTAAATAATCCATTCTTATAAGATGTAATAATTCATTTCAAGAAGTACAGTGTATGTCTCCCATAAATCTAACCTACTTGCCTATTCAAAAAAGGAGCTCAGAAAGTGAATAAAGACAAAACAAAGCCAAGTGTAATAAAATTCAATATTACATATTAATTGATTTAAAATCTGATTTTTTTTTCTACAACTGAGATTTCTGTAGCTCAATCAACACTTGAAGTTATGCTTATTACTTAGAAAGATTGGTTTTGAATCAATATTTACCATCTTTGAACTTGGCTTTGTAAAGCAAAACATGATTAAGAGTAGAACAAAGTTTATAATACACTTACAGAACAAAAAAAATATTTTTTTAATGAACAAAAGCAGGCAAGAAAAAAAAGCAGAAGAATGATTAATCTCATACTACAGGTTTTATCTTTAAATAAAAGAAGTATGTATTAGGCTTCACACACCCACATGCAAACTAAGCACAGACTAACAGGATATTCAGAAGATACCTCTGCGAGGTGACGCAAACTACAAAGCCAAGAAGAAAAGAAGTCCAATAAGCTCTTTGTTAATAGTGTAGAGAAGAACTCTGTGGACATCTACTGCTTGTGGCTGAGATTGCTGCAGTTAGATCACAATGACTATGTAGTAAAAGCTACATTAGTGAAGGAGATAGACTCATCTAGCATATGTTTATTGACCTAGGAATTTGTCAAAAGTTTTCAGAAACCTGTTAAATGTATGGCCATTAACAGCATAAATAATTACTCACAGATACTTAATACTACACACACTTATTCTTTTTCAGTAGCACAGTTAATTAACAATTCACACATCAAAATTATAGATGTTTTGATCATAAACTAAAATACAGAAACAACCAAGCTTCATGTTAAAAATGCACGTTTACGTTCTAGTTCAGAACTTTATTGCTTATGACATCTAAATATTGCATATTTTCAAATACCAGCATCACTCCAATATTAAGTGTGGAGAAACACTACTGCAATGTTAGTAAACGTCAATAAATAACAAAAAAGCAAGCATATTTCTTGACAGAATAATTTACGAAGACTCCTCCAACTCTTTAGTCCAAAACACAATTGCAGAAGACTCGCCCCCAAAAATAATATGTGCTTCATTAAACAAACTTAGTAACTTTGAAATTGAAGAAAAAATTTACTACATACTCCATAATATGCCCTAATATTTCCGTTTCCATTTGATGTCTAATTTAATCTCTTTGTGGATATGGAAAGAAGAAAATTCATAGGCTAGATCTGAGCCAAGAAGGGACTGCTACTTGAAACCCAAGAAGTTTTTGATCAGGACATGAAGCTCTTTGAATGATGATATCCTTAACAATCAGAGCACTCGAAGTCTGCAAAAAATCTCACTGTATGTTCTAGGCAAAATTTAATACATGGACCTCACCGAAAAGAAGTTGTTGGATGAATTCAAGTTACAGTTTTATTTAGGATCAGAAGTTGTGAATGTCTGTTTTAGGAAGACCAGGTTTTAAGTATCAAAAAGCTGAAGGGACTGCAAAATAAGGTCCATTTCTCTAACCTCACTTTTGGCCAACTGAGAACTCCAAGTGTTTCCTACATATTACTCTAGCTTGCCAAAACAGCAACAAAAAAGCACCAGCTTTCTACTTGAAGGTCAGACAGAGAGAAAGCATTAAGAGAAAATCATGTTTGGGATGTATAATACTTATTGGCGCTGCAGTATAATCAGCATTTATATCATTCCAAAAGTATTTTAAATATTTAAGATTGCAAGACACTCTCAAATCTACTAAGTGTACAGGAAAAGGCTGAAGTACTTAAAACTTTCCTCAGATTTCATACTTCAAGCAGATGAAACGGTAGAATTTTTTTTTTTTAATTTGTTTCAATGGATCAACAGAACTTTAATGTAACTACTTCAACTGAAATGTAAAAATGTTCAAATTTTTGTTTTATTCTTTTTCTGCAAGTGCTAAATAAATATATATGCAAGGCCAGTGAGAGAAACAGAATGTAATTCTTCTTCTCACTTTAATTCCTAAGTATTTTACTAAGCTCACCCCCAAAGAGAGGGATCACAGTGTTGACTCCAGATACAAGATAGAGAAAACTATTAGTGCCGGTTTTATCTTAATAAAAACTAGCTCAAATACATCAAACAGTAACAGTAATACCAAAGAAATGTTTATGCTCAGATATTCTTCTCTTTTGGGTCTGCTTCTCAAATCCAAATTCACCTTTCTGGTAAATAGATCAGCCAGTAAATACCAAGCAACTGTCATGTAATAAGAAGTGTATTGAAACTGGGGAAATAAACAACCAACCAAAATCAAAGTGAAGTGTTTAAGACACTCATTTTTGACCCATCCCGACTCAAAGGAAGCCTGACATATTTTGATAGTTTTTCAGCACAAAAATAAAGCAGGCTCTTAAAAAACAAAATAAAGCCAACCCTCTCCCCCAAACAACTAAAAAATCAATACCAAAACCCAATCTTGTTAAGATACTCACTTAAGATAAAAATGTACATAGGTGACTGAGCTAATCAGTTTTCTATTCTACAAGCAAAATGTCTCTTGTTTTTGCCAGAAATTTTAGCCCAGGGCTGAAAAACGCCACTTGACATATTTTTCATGAAAACTGGTATGACTCCACAGAAACGTCTGAATTTAAGAAACATGAATTTTCTGTCAGATTAATTTTTTTTTATTAGAAAATTCATCTGCAGAATAGTAGTGATGACTGATCTTGCTTTGTTCTGTTGTACCCAAAGCAATCAGAAATATAGTTTAACTGATGATGAGAAATACTAGTTAAGAAAATATGCTTGCTTTTTTTCCCCTCACTTTTGCTATAAACTCAAACCTACAGCTGGAATTTGACATTCTACTGAAGAAGAGGGACAGAGGGAGAAAAGGAGTTCTCTTGAACACTGACACAAGGAAAAGAAGACTTAAAAAAAAGTTTCTAATTCCTTATTCTTGCAACCTAATCTCGTGCAATTTGGTTTACTTGTATAACTTACCAATGGCCGAGCATCTTCTCGTTCTAGTATCTTCTGAGCCTGATCTGCTGGGAACTTCAGCACTGTTGTTATAACCTTGGCCATTGTCTGAAAAGAAACAGGTCATCTGTAAATAATTTCATATGCACTAAAATGCTTTGTAATATTTTAAAATGCATTTCATTTAAGAATACTGGATAATATTTTTAGTACTGTCAATGGAAAACATAGTGAAATGAGTAAGGTATAACTATTTGTTTCACATTGTATATGCATGACACGTTACGTGAATTATTTGAAAACCACAAAGGGTCTTCATTTCACATTGTCACAAACGATGTAATACGACGTAAGCTTTATGGTGTCTACCCTCAAATAATTGAGTCTATTAATAAAGACAGTGTACTGTTACAAATACTGCTCCTATCACATTCGATCTTAACGCCGCCTTTCTGAAAAGCACATTTCAGGTGAATGGCACCTGAGAGAATCCTTATGAATTCAACTACATTCAGAGCATCCAAATATTCTGTAAAGAAACGAAACACCGAGAAAGCGGATCCAAATGTCAGATGTGGAACTCCAGTTGTGCAAATATTTTTAGCGGGTACACAGTAACTCCATATTAACACAGCATATCATTTAGACATCCTCAGACAAAAGATGGAAGAATAACAAAGCTCTGTGCAAAATAGGCAACAATTACTTCCATTTTATAAACAGATGAGTGGGAAACTCCAAAAAGCACAAAACAAGGTCCAGGTAACTTTTACAAGAAAGGTCAGAGTAAGAGCTGCAGTGCAGCTCAAACAGAAGGCGATTGCTACAAAAGCAGTAACTGCTGCTCTTAAAGAATGTGGCTGAGATAAGATTGCTGCTCTCCACGTCTGCTGTTTATTACCAGTCTCACGTGTGGAATGAAGAGGGAGGCTGTGGCAACAAAGCAGTTGCAGGACAAAAATGACTGCAGCTAAAAGTGAGAGGTAAAGCTCTAATTTGCAACAATTGCTTCGGTATATAAATTAACTAGGGATAGAAACAAAAAGACAGCAAAACAAATGCAGCCCTGTTGAACGCTTTCAGCTCAAAAAGCTTAATTAACACATTAATAGTTCCTATAATTAAGAAGTAAGTGCCTCTACTGCAGTTCCCAGATATACAAAGGAATGTGCTCGGTGCCACAAACTAATATCACACTTTTCTAATTTCTTTTGCCAAAATCCTCATCACAGTGATTTAGGACTAAAAGATTAGAAAGCATTAAGCTTACAATCTATTCACACTCACTGTAACAGTCCTATCAAGAAAGCCCTCTCTTAACAATTTTCTACAGGACACAATGGCATGCAAATTTTAAAGAAAAATGCAGAAACACTGCAAATACTCCATGAAAGCAGAGATACTTATGTGCCAACTTAAATAGGGGCTATGTAAAACTTTATTTCCCGAAAACATCCATTTTGTAATTTATCACTAGGAATGACTTGAAATTCTCTTGAGTTTCTGAGGCCACAAGGGAGATTTTGAAGCAGAATTATTCAACACTATTCACGGTTGCATAGTTATAAAACAAAGTTACAAAGATTGCAGAATTTAGGATAGTATATTTAATATAGGCTTACCTTATCCCTCGAACAGTCTATTCTACCATAAAAAACCCATAACAACTCTTTAAGTGTGTGAGTACCCACACATATGTTCCTATACGTGCATCTCTGTACCTACCTATAGAAAGAGCCTGAGCTTTTCCAAACATAATAGTCAGTTCTTCTATAAGAGATTATAGTTTGCATTTCCATTTCTTTCTATGAGGTTGATATATTTAAATGTGTCATCTCTGAGAATAATACTTTTGCAATGATATCGATCAGTCCCCTCAACACTATTCAAGAGCTGCTGGTCAAAGGCAGAACTTTCAAAGTCAAAGTTTAACCTTTGTTTTATACCCCTTGTTTTTCTGCAATGCACAAGAGCATGTTGAGGTGCCAGAAAGAGATCTGCATAAATTTACTATCTCAAACACGTATGTATTCCATTACATTCTTCTATGCACCTAGTTGGTATCAACACACACATTTATTACAGATATACAAAACTCGGACTGATTTTCTGGCCTTAGAAGAGACTCCAAACAGCATAATGAATTTCTAAGTAGAGGACCTAGGATTTCTACAAGACTTAAAATTTAGTGTGCAGTACAGCTGGACAGTGCAACTATTCACATGTCTGTAGAAGATATTATTTGACCTAGTGGCATATGCCATGTATTTCCAGCTTCAGATATTCTGAACAAAGTGCATGCTCAGAAAAAGCTGGCAATCTCATTTCCTATATCCCGCCAAGGAAGAGGTAAAAAATAAAGTTGGACTGGAGGGCAAGACAGTAAAGTCCCCAGCGAAGACATGTGCACGCCTTGGTCAAGCAGTTTACAAAGAATGTGATAGGGTACAGGTTACACAGTATGACCATAATTCCTGACTCTTAGATGCTGAGCCACTATCAACCCTCAACATTTCTCTTGTGTCTCCAGCACTATAACACAACTGATGGATTCATTAATGTCTCTACTCAATACGATTCCAGGATTATTTCCCAGGCTGCATAAATGGCAATCCATTCTAGATAGTTTGCACAGATTCTCTTCAACTCCTTTCAATAAAGCAGAAATAATGTCTGT